AAATTTATTGCATTTTCTTCTTTTTTTTTAATTTATGGAAACTGCCCCCTACCCTAGCCCCCGCTGCGTACAGTCATGGTTCAGTGACAAAGCAATGGCCTCGTAACTGTGAGACCCCAGGATCAAAACCGTGTCGATGTGTTATATTAGTGCCCTTTTGTGGGGCATTAATCCTCATTACTGTCATTTATGACTTAAGGGCATAAGGTCCCCTAGTTGATAAGCATAGTAGCATACACATGCTTTAGCAGTCACGCAAAACACACATTGGTAAATTATTATTCAATAAAATCGGAGAATGTATACTATTATCTAGATCTATTATTTTTAAATTATTTTTAAAATAATTCCATAAATTGGGATTTAAAAAAAATATTCCACCGTTATGAGCGACAGTGTATGTACTGATTGTAGCACACCCGCTATACCTGCAGATGTTACGGACTACATGTAACAGTTTGTGTGTGGACCTTGTCAACTTGGAGTATGCCGCAATCCATGTAACGAGTCACTTGATAGTGAAGCAGAAGATGATTTGTCCTTACTCAAGTACATTCCTCATCAAAATGAAGGAATGTGAAGAGCTGCATGTGTATTCGCAATAAGATGGCATGAACAGCACGAGGTTTTAAATTTTTTTAATTGTATGGTAGGTATTATGAATGTGTGTCTAGATATTATTATTATGTTGTTACTTTGTCTTTGTCACTTTTAGTATGTTTTTCCTGACGTTTAATATTACTAGAAACCGTTGAAAAACCTTTTGTTGCAATTTTGTTAGGTTGGGGTGTTTTTCACCGTATTTTGACCTGACTATTGTTTTGCCTAACGCAAAAGCCGGTGAATGCTTACGGGTGCTATGGTATAGTTGGTCTTAGTTTATTATCAGGTTTTTGTTATACAAATGTACTTGTTCATTGTACAGGAAACCCCATTTACTAAAAAAGCTTCTCTCGGGTTCCCTAACCATTTTTACTTTGTATGTCCAACATCAACATGTCCAACATGTTTTGTATCGTATCAGGACAATTACCCCCTGGGCAATCACCCCCCCCCCCCCGGAAATTTACCCCCCGGAGAATTACCCCCGAGGACAATTACCCCCAAGGACAATTACCCCCCGGAAAAGTACCCCCCGAGGACAATTACCCCCCAAGGACAATTACCCCCGGAAAATTACCCCCCGGAGAATTACCCCCCGAGGACAACTACCCCCGAGGACAATTACCCCCCGAGGACAATTACCCCCGCGGACAACTACCCCCGAGGACAATTACCACCCGAGGACAACTACCCCCCGAGGACAATTACCCCCCTCCCCCTCGAAACACCATTAAAGCGGCCCGAGGACAATCACACCCAGGGAATTTGTAACACTGTGACGTATAATGCGAGCTCCTCTTCAAATTGCTATTTAGAGAAAATGTCATGAACTTTCATTTTCTTAGTTATTTGTGACGTAATAGATTTGTTTCGTACAGGGGTTGTGTATAAATTATATTTATATTCGTAGCTCACATTCAAAGCCCTCGTACCCATCTGCCAAATCTTTTTGCTTGACGTACATGTATCCTCCTAGGAGGAGATTTCACCCACCCCTCTCGCTCTGTATCCATTCCACCTTTGTGAAGTTTGACTTAATATGCCACGTGTATTGAATCAAATCCAATTGCCAGAAGACGCATGTATCAAATCGAATTTAATTGCCAGAAGAATTTACATTTCTTAGAAATTTAACAATAAATTGCGCGCAGATGAGTCCGCGTTAATATAGCTATTCTCCCCAAAAATAGCCCAACAAAGAAATTAGGATGTAAGATATCATTATTTATGCATCCTCTGTAACTTTTCTAATCAGCTGATCGTATATTTGTCTTTGTATGTATAATGGGACCTCATCCATGATCTATTCCAAAATTAAGGTTCTCTTCATGTTTATAAATGTAATGTAATATATATATATATATATATTTCTGTTGTCATGGTGAACTAAAATATGTTTTCTTGTACTGTAATTTATTTTAAAATAAAAATTGCCTTCAAGTTAAATATATGGTATGTACGGTGCCATATTAAAAGAAAATAAGTATCCGCACTTGGGTACATTCATCTCAATGATTTTGTAATTCCAGAGCAGCGTTTTTTCAACTGGGGTGCCGCAAGAGAATGTTAGTTACATGTCAATTTTTTTTGGCAAACGTTGATTTTTTTGAAAAAACAAATATCAGAAACGGGTAGAGTATTTATTTTCATGAGAAAATAAAATGTAAACAAATAATAAAATGTTTTTCTTCCTCGCTCGCTGACAATATTTTGCGAATATATATCTTTTATTTCGACATTACATTGTTACCACACTCATCACAATTATAAACATGATGAATCAAGGCAACGAGAGGCCCGAATATCCTCATATTCGTGTAACAAGGTCATGACCGAATATTTCACTTTATATTCGTGTACATTCGGCGGTGAGGCGCCCGCATACCTTAAATCTGTGCTAGTGTGTTGATTACAATATTATGTTTTACCATTTTGAAAATGTCTTGTCCTTGTTTTTCTTGCTCGTTCACTAAATCAAGAAACAAATGTGCCCATACGTGTGTACATAGCACTTGACGAGTGCCAGAGTGATGCAAAATAAATAGTTTGTGAAGAATTTAAGATTGGGCGAAACTTTTCATTTCTTAAGAGGGCATCGTGTCGAACAAAAAGTTGAAATAACGCTGCACAAGAGAAATCCTTCGTAGAAAACAGTAACCACAGTGTTGTTGCATACATTATAGCTAAAGAAAAATGTGTAGTAATGAGGAAGATCACGCACAAGTATTTGAACGAATGTGGGTTCATGCACGGGATTTTATGGGCTCGTAGCCTTCACAGCATCTCTCAACGTGTCAGATCGTCTTTTGCTATTGAATCCTGATTGTCCCCGGGGGGGGGGGGGAATTGTCCTCGGGGGCGGGTAATTGTCCTCGTGGGGTAATTCCTCATGGGGTAGTTTTCCGGGGGTAATTGTCCTTGGGGGGGGGGTAATTGTCCTCGGGGGTAGTTGTCCTCGGGGGGTAATTCTCCGGGGGGGGGAATTTTCCGGGGGGTAATTGTCCTTGGGGGTAATTGTCCTCGGGGGGTAATTATCCGGGGGGTAATTATCCGGGGGTAATTGTCCTTGGGGGGTAATTGTCCTCGGGGGTAATTCTCCGGGGGGTTATTTTCCGGGGGGTAATTGTCCTTAGGGTGTTATTGTCCTCGGGGGGTAATTCTCAGGGGGGTAATTATGCGGGGGGTAATTGTCCTCGGGGGTAGTTTTCCAGGGGGTAACTTTCCGGGGGTGATTGCCCAGGGGGTAATTGTCCTAGAACAGTTTTGTATATGTCCTTCGAAAATTGCTTGTATTTCTGAATTTTGTTTTAAAAAATGGTTGAACCAATAATTGAAATGAAATGAAATGAAATGAAATGGAATTGCACAACCAGCCAATTCGATTATGTGCAGTAGGTAGACTGCTCGTTGCGTACAATGAATCAACTGCGCACATTTTATCTGTCGGTTATATTAACGAAATTGAAACGAATATGCATTAAAAGTTTAAGTATTTTGAAGTTGCGACATCAGAAATCGGAAGGTGCACAAAAGAAACATGCCATACAATCATCGTAATACAAATAACATTCCGCTTTTATATAGCTCTTAATACATCGACGATTTCTCTTTGCGTTTTACAGATACATTATTACCCCGGTCATCGAGTTCAGGCTTGTACATTTTTTACTCCCTGGGGAGCATTCCATCAAGTCACCGTTTTACAGATGCTACCCATTCAACACCTGAATGGAGAGTGGAAAAGTAAATTAACGTCCTGCCAAAAATCACACTAATGTTCCAGGATGGGATTTGAACTTCATGCCTTGTGATCTGCAGTCGGATGACATATCCACTTGACCACAACACGTCTATAAATTGGATTTATGACAATTACCACCCGAGGACAATTACCCATGTAGACAATTAGCCCAGTGGACGATAACACCCTAAGGACAACCATCCACAAGTTAATCCTCAACCAAGGAACAAGGATACCCTACCCTTAAATAATTACCTTTCCCCCGGAAAATATAGCCCCTGCTCTTAAAAAAAGGAAAGTCTACCCTGAGAAGAAATATAGAAACAATAGTTAGTGAAAGTTTCAGCATTTCAAGGAATGAATTCCTGCCATGTACCCATTTACATCACCTCGGTTGAGTGTGACAAATGTAGATCAATATCTTGCCAAATGACACTAGTGCCGCAGCGGGACTTAAACTGCGAACCTTGTGATCCGCAATCCAGTGACGTATCCACTCGACCACGAAACCTCTTCTATGATATTTGCTAGTCTATACAGTGCGTCCCAGGAAAAAAAACGAGAATTATCGATGTTTTATCATAACTTAATCACTATTAGAATTAATAAATGACACATATTTGTAAAGCTTAGATCCTTTTCCTTCGGTTGATGCAACTCATATGATGCCTATTTCACGCATGAGTGATTACAAACAATTTAAAGAGAGAATACCACTAAGTAATTTTAGAGCGGTATCTTAATTTCAAAGCGAAAATCACTTTTCTAAAACGTTCTTTTTCTTCTCTTTCATATGACACCTCAATCAGGAAAAATGAGCCAGGAATAACAAGGTTATATTTGTTTTAAGAAACGCTTGCATTTCCATAATTTGATAAAACGATTTCACTTTCACTGGCTGCCTGCCGTATCAACAAACGGAGTTGACAAAAAGACTTAAATTCATTTCGTTGACGATCAGCCATGCACAAAGAAGACGAAAGACTTGATGCATGGTTGATCGTGAACGAAACGGAGTTAAGTCTTTGTCAACTCTGTTTGTTGCTACTGCTACGTTTACACTATATTCCCGCCGGCCACGGCAACCCTGTTAGCCCTAAACGTAGTGCGCCGTGGGATTTAGACCAATTTTATCTCTGGATTCAACTTTTCTTAGTTCTTGCCAAGTTTTATCACGGTCTACCACGGTATCCGTGACGGGTGTGGAGGGAAGGGGATGCTGAGTCCCGGAGGCTCTAAGGCACACTACGGTTCGGCCCGCGTTCTACCACGGGTGCCAGAACGTTCACTCCCGGCCCGTCACGTTCTGATGGGGGTCCCTCACGTTTCTCACGTTCTGATCAAGTTCTGACACGCTTGTCACGTTCTGTCAAGGCTGTCTACGGTTGAAACGTGGACCCCGTGCAGCTCTGGAGCACGATTGTGACCACGGTATAAAAAGAAGGCCTCCCAAGCAGGCGTAAATATTCTAAGAAAGAATGATATTTTGACGAGACAACATCATGAATGCCAACGATGAAGAAGATTTTGTTTTTGCATGTTTGCATATTTGCTGGGTCCATACACCCAGTCGTTGCGTCAGCGGCATTTGCAGAGGTCGAAGAAGGCGGAAGAGAAGACCAAGATCCATGTGGGTGCGCAAGAGGCTATCGGATGATAGAATAATATATACACTGTTGGTCATAATGCTGGAATATTTATTTTTACCCCAGTTTAGGGAAGGATTTTAAAAAAATATTTATTTCTATTAGATCTAGATAATGGCATACATTCTCAGATTTTATTGAATATTAATTTGCGAGTGTTTGTTTTGCGTGACTGCTAAATCAAATGTGTGCTACTATGCTAATCAGCTAGGGAACCTACTTCTTTAAATTATAATTGACAGTAATGAGGATTAATGCCTCACAAAAGGGCACTAAAATAGCTGATCGACACGATTTTTATCCTGGGGCCTCACAGTAACGAGGCCATTGCTTAGCCCCTGAATCATGACTGTACGCAGTGTTTGCTAGGGTACGCGGCCTCCCCCACAAATCCCCCAAAACGAAGAAAATGCAATAAATTGTCAAAAATTCATTGCATTTTCCCCCGGCCCCCAACAGGAAAAATTTCTCTGTGTGGCCATGCCTTGAACCATAATGCGTGGCCATACAGAGGAATTTTTCCTGTTGGGGGCCGGGGGGAAATGCAATGAATTTTTGACAATTTATTGCATTTTCTTCGTTTTGGGGGATTTGTGGAAGGGGCCGCGTACCCTAGCAAACACTGCGTACAGTCACGATTCAGGGGCTAAGCAATGGCCTCGTTACTGTGAGGACCCAGGATAAAAATCGTGTCGATCAGCTTTATTAGTGCCCTTTTGTGAGGCATTAATCCTCATTACTGTCAATTATGACTTAAGGACGTAGGTCCCTTAGCTGATTAGCATAGTAGCACACATATGATTAAGCAATCACGCAGAACAAACACTCTCAAATTAATATTCAATAAAATCTGAGAATGTATGCCATTATCTAGATCTATTAGAAATAAATAATTTTTTTAAAATCCTTCCCTAAACTGGAGTAAAAATAAATATTCCACCATTATGACCAACAGTGTATATATTTGTTTTGGTTTCAGTCCACTCCAATATTTATTAAACCGAAATCATGACAGCAACTGGGCCACTACTCAACCTTTCTCACCAGATAGCTCCTCACCGAAGATACCGACGCCTTCCAGAACTATCTGAGGATGCCCCCAGAGCTCTTCGATGAGAACCTGGAATGAGTAAAACGAGCCATCGAGAGACAAGACACAAGTTCCGCTCTGCACTACAAACTGGACTAAAGCTGTCAGTGACTCTGAGACATCTGGCCACTGGGGACAATTACTCGTCACTCACCTATGCGTTCCGGTGCAGCAAAGCAGCCATCTGCCATATGGTGCAGAAGTGTGCAAGGCCATCGTGGAAGCCTACAAGGACGAATTTTCGCTGTTTCTGTAACGCCCAATGAGTGGAGAGCCCTTGCCCAGGAGTTTGAAGACAAGTGGACTGTGCCTCATGCATTGGGAGCTCTGGACGGGAAGCATATTGCCATCAGCAATCCACCCAACACAGGGTCCTTGTACCACAACTACATTTTTTCCAGTATCCCTCTCCTCGCCTTGGTGGATGCCCAGTATCGTTTTATATGGATTGAACTTCGTGGAGTAGGACACATGTCTGATGCCCAAATCTATAATGACTCAGAGCTCAGTGAACTTCTCGAAAAAGGGTGGATAGGGTTGCCACCACCATGCCCTCTGTCTAACGATGGCCAGAACCAGGACTTCACTTACTTCATCCTGGGAGACGACGCATTTGCCTTAAGAAGCTACCTGATGAAGCCGTATGAGAGAAGAGCGATGCCATGAGAAAAACACATCTTCAATTACCGGATCTGTCGTGTAGGACGTGTGGTGGAGAATGTGTTCAAGATCCTGGCCAAGCGAATCAGATGCTTCCTTGGGACTTTGGAACAAGCACTAATGACAGTTAAATGACAGTTAAATTTCAGATGTATTACAGTGCGAGACCTCATTGAGGCTGATGCCGTGCTTCACAACCTCCTGATAAGAAGGGTTCCAGTGAACGAGGTAAACCATTAGGATGAGGAACATATTCTGGTCCCAGGCAACTGGAGAGATGAGGTCAAATGGCAGGACGTGTACGCACCACCAGAAGGAAGGAATAGAGACACTCTAGACGCGAATTAGCAGCAACCGGAGTACCTTAACAGGGACTTTAACTCCTCATGCTCTCTGTCTCTTCGTACTTCTTTGAAGGAGAGTGAAGCCTTGGTGGTGAGTTGAGGGGAGGGGCTCGGTTTTTTCTTTATCCCGGGGCTACATACTCTTTTACACCTCTTATTCTATATTCTTCTCTATTTCTTCCTTTTCGTCTTCTTCTCTTTATCCTTATGTTCTATGTAATTTGTTTTATATATATTTATTATTTATTTATATATAATTTGTATGCATTTGATATTTTGATATGTTTTTATTTATATTAAACATTTTGTATAAGTTGTGTATTTTTATGTATGCTCACCTTGAAGTTAAGTTTCTCCTTTTTCTTTGGAAGAAGACATGACATGACCAGAGTCTGAAAATGCTTTTGTTGAGATACCGCTTTATTCACAGAACGATATTAAAAACAAACCGATATAAAACAAAAGGAACAGTAATACATCTCTTGTCTGTTGTGTAAATCATATAAAAGTACTGTAGTTTATCAATAAATGAACCTTCGATTTTCTCAGTGATCTACATATTTATTTGTCTTCCCATGCATTATTTCATAATACATAAATGATGGCATTTATCTTAAATTAGGGCTGAATACATAAATTAAACCTGCTTTTAATCAAATGAAGTCCTAATAACTCTCACTGAAACCTAAAATAGCTTCCATTGCAGAATATGCAACTTATTTTCCAACATAAATAATAAATCATACATTTTGGTATATCCTCCGTGGAAGTGGTGAAGACCCTGGGGGCTGCCCTCCTCCTAGCTGGTGCGTCTTCCCCAGCCTCCCCAGCCTCCTCAGCCTCAGGTTAAGGTTCCAGTTCAGGGACCGGGTCACGATCAGCAGCATGCTCCTCTTCATTTGACGGGGGTGAACAGCGAGGATCTTCAGGCTGTTCCTGCTCCTCAATTACTAGTGATGGTGCTGGTGCTGGACGGATGGCCTTCGAACGTATTGGCTTCTTCGTTGGCATAGCTTGACCTTCTTTCTTCGTATTATAGATGCACCAATGTGTCGTCGATTGCTCAGACTCGAATGAAGCTCCTGCCGCGCCCGTCTTTTATATACTGCCTGCCGACCGCGTGCGCCGTGTCAGAACGCGTGCGGCGCGTCTGTAAACCGTCAGACGCCGGGATGCGCCAAGATGCGCCGTGATTAAACGTGGCAGAACGTGAAGAAACTTGAGAAGACCGTAAAATGCCACTACGGACCACCTCCAAGTTTCGTTATGGCCTATTACGGACTGTGACGTTTTGTTACGTTCACCCCGTTTTACTACGGCCTACTAGGTAACTCATCCGCACCGTGACTGCCGTGGCAAATTTGTTGACAGTTCATGCTACGTTTACACTATGTTCCCGGCGGCCACGGCAACCCCGTTTCGGACCACCGTGTACGAAACGGGATTGACGTGACACAACGCGGGGGACCGTACGGGTGAACGTGACAGGCCGTAATTGCCGTGGATACCGTGTCAGATTTTTAAACTGTCAAAAAAAATTGCCACGGCAGTCACGGTGTGGAAGAGAAACATAGTAGGCCGTAGTAAAAAGGGGGGAACGTAACACATCGTGACAGTCCTTAATAGGCCGTAACAAAACTTGGAGGTGGTCCGGAGTGGGACGGGAAGCCCGCACATTCCCATGCATCTTACGGTCTTTTCAAGTTCTGTTACGTTCTGCCACGTTTAGTGCACGTTTGACACGGTTGCTGCCCATTTGTCCCGTTTTGCCACGTTTTTACAAGGTTTGCCCCGGTTTTCACGGCAGGCCAGGATGTATGGTAGCCATTTTGTCGCGTTTAATCACGGCGCATCCCGGCGTCTGACGGTCTACGGGCGCGGCGCGTTGCGTTCTGACACGGCGCACACGATCGGTAGGTAGTATATAAAAAGACGGGCGCGGCAGGAGCTTCATTCGAGTCTGAGCAATCGACGACACATTACTGCATCTACAATACGAAGAGAGAAGACCAACCTATGCCACCGAAGAAGACGTTCGAAGGCCCTCCCTCCTGCACTACCACCATCAACAGTAGTAGAGGAGCAGGAACAGCCTGAAAATCCTCGCCGTTCACCTCTGCCAAATGAAGAGGAGCATGCTGCTGCTGCTGACCCGGTCCCTTAACTGGAACCTGAACCTGAACCTGAACCTGAGGCTGGAGAGGCTGGGGAGGCTCAGGAAGACGCACCAGCTAGGAGGAGGGCAGCCCCCAGGGTCGTCACCACCTTTACGGAGGATGAGAAGGAGCTCATCATTGACTTCCTCCAGCATCATCCTACGCTGTGCCTTATTGCTTGGGAGGCCTTCTTTTTATACGGTGGGCACAACAGTGCTCCAAAGCTGCCCGGCGTCCACGTTTCATCCGTAGAAAGCCTTGACAGAACGTGAAAAGCGTGTATGACCTTGATCAGAACGTGAGAAACGTGAGGGACCCCATTAGAACGTGTCGGGCAGGAACCTCGTCTTTTTTGCAAAAGTATTATCGTAATACAGCATTTCCTGTCCATTATAACACTTTTATCATTCGAATTCATCTTTGTGCACTTTCATTTTAATAGATTTCTACATGTAGATTCCATATTTGTGGAAGAGACAATACATTATAGCGAACGAGTGACGAATGAGAATGATGCTTTGACGAAATCCATTGCAAAATAATGATTTTGATCATGCAACTGTACGTTGGCAGCCGAGGAGGATGAACTTCATTGACTTTGACAAAATCGGATGCGAAATGACGAAATTGATTGGAATCCGTTCGAAAATGATTTACTAGAGTGTTTTTAAAGGGTTTAAAGTGGTCAGAAAAACCCAGATATGTATGTGTAATTACAATGTAAAGCGCTTAAACCTTAATATTAAACACTACACTTATTGAACTATTATTGTTAAAATTTTAATGAATGACTTTGAGTTTCGTTGAATAAAAAAAATTTAAAAAAACAATATGAGGATACATATTTTAGTTTTTGCTATGACCTGTATTGAATTCAACATCAATCGATAAAACCAATTTTAATTCCCAGAACAGTGACAGCATCTGAAAATTTTCTGAATGCCTTTTTATTGATTTGTTATACAGTGCGTCCCAGAAAAGACGAAACTGACAATTATCGATGTGTTATCATAACTTAATCACAATTAGGATTAATAAATGACACATATTTGTAAAGCTTAGATCCTCTTCTTTCATTTGATGCAACTCTTATGATGCATATTTCACGCATGAGTGATTAAAACAATTTGAAGAAAGGAAACCAAAAATCATTTGGCGGGCGATTTCAAAGAGAAAATGACATTTCTAGAAAGTTCAATTCATGGTCATTCATATGACACCTCATTCAGAAAAAAAATAGCCAGGAATAAAAAAAGTTCTATTTGTTTAAAGTAATGCGTGCATTTCCATAATTTGATTAAAGGGGGGGGGTTAACATTTCTAAATCGGGCCTAAAAGTTTGCAAAGACTCAGCCAGCCGCTGAATAAGCGAGGGGGGAGCATTTCTTTTTTAATTGGGGGGGGGGGGGGGGTTCAGCAAAAATCATACACATGAACATGAATTGAGGGGGTTCAACCCCCCCCCCCCCCCCCCGCTGGGTACGCGTCTGATCATAATAGTTGCATCAGACAGGAGAGTCTTTGCTTTACAAATATGTGTCATTTATTATTTATAATTGTGATTAAGAAAGGTATGATAAACATCGATAAATCTCGGCTTCGTTTTTTCGGAGACGCACTTTATTATATTAGATATATCGCACCAGAAATTAGTACAACAAACACATGTTATTTGATGATGGCAAATGATCAAGCTTGATGAAAGCTTCAAAAAACATAAAACAGACTTAAATCGGTCAATGCGTTGTGATTTTATACCTTTTTTTTTAAATCGCAAAATTACCGAAAAACCTGCCAGAAATGGTCAAATTGGCAAAATTGGCAAAATTCGTCAAAGTTGACAGCTTAATTCATCACTTTCTCGGACACAAATAATAAA